TATGATCCCATCCGGGCCGATTTAGTCAGATCGAATCTACTCTGTTCCTAATTGACCAGATCCTTGTGGGACCGATTTGATAAGATCAGCTCCGGTCTGATTCGATTAGATCCTATCTATCCGTTTGGTCTGATTCTTGGTCATATCCGATCCGATACGCTCCTCTCTGATTTGGCCAGATCCTCTCTGATCCGATTTTGCCACATCCTCTGCAGCCCGATTTGGTATGATTCGACCCTGTTCCATTGGGTTAGCTCAGATCCAGACCGATTTAGTCAGTTTCGATCATCTCCGTTCCGATTTGGCCAGATCAACCTTGATCTGATTCGATCAGATCTACTTCGGCCTGATTCTATTAGATCCTATCTATCCGTTTCCGTCTGATTTTTGGTCAGATCTGATCCAATCCCCTTCTCCCTCATTTTTCCAGCTCCGCTGTAGTCTGATTGGGTAAGATCCACTCCGTTCCAATTTCATCCGATACGATCCGGTCCGTTTTTCTCTGATCCTATCTGCTCTGATCCGATCCGGCCCAATCCGTGCCGGGCCGAGTCCGTGTTGCATCGACACTCGTGTTGCACTCGCACACACACACTCTTTCCCACTCACGCCACTCACCAAACCGATGCTCGCCAGTCCGAGCCTGGCAACCGGCGAGTTCTACCATCGCAGCGCCAACTGCCACCGCCCTTAGACCCTCTGAAGCCGGTCTTTTCTGGCCGCCCGGTCAGCCGAGCCAGGCGTGAGGACAAGCCTGCTGTACCAGTTTGTAGACACGTTGACAACTCAACAATTCAGGCCAGTTGTCGGTCACGTTCTGCATCGAGGCCAGCCGAAGCCGGTGCCTCGGGGTGGCACAACCGAGGCGACGTTTGTGTGTCACCAGGTCACTAGTGCCAATCAAAAACACACATGCCTACAAACAAAGTTAGGCACACTCGAGACGGCAGCCTGTACCGGTGCGTCGTATCACCGACACACGCACAACCGAATCAATTAAGTTGCCTTTCAACCTCGAGATCAGATCATCGTGTCTGTCGTGACAATTTGTCTCAATCGGCAAATCTCAGCGTTGACTCCGCCTCTTGACCCCTCGATCAAGCCAGTCACCATCTGACGTCGCAGGCGCGACAACACACTCGCCGAGACACGACTGTCGTGTTGCCATGGCGACGTGAATCGGCTCAATGACGGCACAACGGCGCCGTGATCCTGTCGTCTGATGGCTCGAATGGCGCCGCAACCAGCGCGCCCAACAGGACTCGGCAATAGAGGCCCAACCGAAAGATCGCCGTCTCGACTCGTCAAAAGTACAAGTCTACTACAGGGTGTGGCATACGGGCTCCAGCCTAGCAACGAGGCCGATCTGCTGTGGGCAAGAGAGAGCAAGTGAACGAATGCAGTTGGAAGTTGGGCTGAGCCCAAAATGGGCTAAGTCTAAACAAATAGAGGAATGGAAAGTAGAGGAAAAATGGTAAAAAGGTAGACTAGCAACCTCAAACTGTATAAATGTGTTCATAAAATAATAATGAATCAATAAGCAAAATATCTTTTAACATAATAATATCATATAATTAAATAATGAAATAGCAATATTCAAAAAGACAAGCTTTGGCAGCGTCGGATCGTGGATCGTGAAGAGTAATATTTTATAATTTATAATAATATTTGAAAAGGCTTTGAAAAGGCTCCATGTGTAAATTCATGTAGACTAGACATCGATACTACCACGGTTGACCTCGTTCCTGCCACTTGGTTAGAGG